CCCCCCCCCCCCCCCCCCCCCCCCCCCCCCCCGTGTGTGTTTCATTGTAGAATGTAAATCTACAATGAAACGCAGGCATACCAGCGTCTTGCTGCGAATTGTTTTGTTAATCTGTCTGTTTTCACACTCTGACGAGATGACAAAGCTCTGCTGACACGTCAATAGATTCGCACATCTCCGTAAAATTGCGCTCTCCGCAAAAACTTCGTTGCTTGATGGTGCTCAATTTACACATTACAGACACGTGGCGCTGGGAGCATAATACAAACCTGTTTGCATATAACGTCTGCTCGTACAGTCAGACACTAAAAGTATATAAAAAGAAGGGTACAGGACCATGATCATGAAAACAGAGTATGTACGTATGACGCTGATAAGCGCCTGCCATGCTTAGCACGCAAACAAGGATTCAGCATTAAGTTTCTTCAACCTGGAAACTACAGCAGTGAGAATTGTTCAGGAAACAAGATCGATTACGACACCAAGTTTTTGCTTGAATTGGTATGACCACAACAGTTTTTCCGCCAACGCTGCTCCGGCCTCTTCTCTTCGAAAAAACATGAGAGGCATTCAACTGCATGGGAATATGGGTAGAGGCAAAAAAACGAAAATGCTTGGCCCGTAGTATTCCAGAGGAAGACAAGGCCCAGCATGAACATAAGTTCGGTTTGCCCTTCATTCGTCTCTCGGATCCCCTGGGGGAGAAAAGCTCGAGACTTTCTGCGCGCGCCCTGCAAAACATGTAACCCGCAGCAAGTGGAGAGTCGCATATGAGCAAGTCTGCATATATATTACAACCAAGAGGCACCCAGTTTGAAGCAAGTAGCAATCAGTTTGATGAGGACTACATTGCACCTGAAAAGCAGCCTAATGGAGCGTCTACGGTATCGAGACATATTTTTCCGGGATGCCCTTCGGAGCAAAGGAAACGTGCTCTTTGCTGCTACACTACCAGAGAACAACAACATTTGCAACCTGTGCTCCATTCTCATGCGCCACCGGCCCCTCGGCCTGGGGTATGAGAGATCTGTTGAATTGAATTTCGTTTCTTAATTGGGAGCCTCCTTTCACTGCAAACGACACCTCAATTTCTCCACATCGACAATTGGCACCGATTCAATGAAGGATCAAGACGAAAATTGGCTCAGCGCATTGCCATTGGGCAATCAATGAGTTTCCGATTGCGCCCGGATCGAGTCGCGATGGTATTCATTTCTGTCTCCTTCTCAAGCGTTTCTGCGTTCCGGGTAATTAGGCCATTATTTTCGATGTATCGTGTATCTAACTTGACACGGGGCACGTGTGCGCGTTGCAATTTTAGAATTTCAAGTCATCAGAGGTATACTGAATCCATATCGTTGACAGAGCAGGGGCAGATGCAGCACACGAGCAATTTTCGGGTTGTTGTACCGCACTGTTCGTGGCTACACTAACAATGCAAATTACGGAGTAACTGGATACACTTTAGGCACAATAACTTTGATATTCACGTTTCTTCCGCGGCTGGCATGCATGCGTCTGCGACAAGGCTGCGCATCCTAAAAACCGTATTTCTGTTCCGTCGATAGGGGCAAGAAAAAGCGTTTCCGGGGAGTTTCTAGGAAAATGAAGCGCTCTTCCAGGCTTGACAAAAAAAATGAGAGCAACGATGAGGAGGGTAGAAGAATCAGGGCCTGAGCGCAAGAGGTGTTTTATATGAAATTAAAACGTTAAAACATGGCTAGTCAAGATCCAATAGTTTTTTAATGTGCGGTAAGCATATCTCTGCAGTCGTTTGCTTCCCTACCATTTGGAGTTTGTGGTGCTCGTTATTTGCTCGTTATGTGGTACGTTTTTGATAATGCATTATAAAGTTTACCTACGTACTGCGCAAAGGAACTACTGATGTTAATAATGGCACTTACGATCGTGGTCCTCTACGTGAAGGTCTTTTACAAGTAGCAAACAGGCTGGTGATGTATACGAAATGAGTAAGGCAGCTCTGATAAGACTAGTGAGGGGTTCGCAGAATGAGACGGTCGCCTCGGTACTTGGCAGTAGACGTCACTGGTATAAATAGGATAGTTGTTCTGTTGGTGACAAAGAATGGAGCTCTGGTAACAAAGACCAGCACGAAGACATTCTCACGGAGCTTGAGGGCCCTCACTGCACAGCGCCTGCGTCTATGGTAATGGAAAGCAGTCAGTGGAATCTTCTTCTCTCGGTAAGGTGTGTGTCCTAGTCCAGTACAGTATGTCCAGCACAGCACAACCATTACCAATATGGAGGCGGAAGATCACTGGCGAGTGAGTACCGATTGTTTCGAGAGGGGGGTACGGATGTAGTTTTTCGCTGAAAAGGAGTGTACTGATAAAGGATGCTCGAGCAACACAGCAGGACGCAGGCTAGGAAGAACCAACCCTTTTGACTTTACAGGCCATATCCAACGCGAAAAAGACGCTCTATTCTCTGCCAGTCCTCGATGGCCTTGCATAAATGCTTTGTTCAGAGTTGCTTTCGGGCTGAGTCCCGGAGCTGTTGCCATCTGCTCTTTGCTGATTTGAGCTCAGGGGGAACCGATTTTTAGGTTTCTCACAGGGCATTCCTTCGCGACTTACGTACACCGCACAAAATAATGTGAAAAACAGCTTTCTTCGGCGCCCTGTACAGTACTTTTGCGTCTCCTGTTTTTCGGCACCTTCCCCCCGTCCCCAGCTTTAGCCTCACATTATCCGCGCTAGTCGGAAACAGGGTATTGTACGCACGTACAGGAAAGATAAGCTAACCTTAACCATCATATTAATGTTTGTCCACTGTGCAGTAGCAGAAGGTAGCAGTACCGCATACCATCTACTGTATCCTTTCCGTGACAAATGGACTTGTTTCTTTCCAGCCCCCCCCCCCCCGCCCAGAGCTTCTCCTGCGGTATCGAGACCGACATGAGACAAAACGTGAACGCCCATGAGATTGGTTTGTGTCCCTCTCTCCAGGAATCTGCTTCTCAACGCTCCATGTGGCACGATAAAAAGGCAGTGCCCTGAGCACCAACGTCAAGTCTGGTCACACACTATACCGCCGCAGCCAACTTCTACCTTTACGTTGCACGTCTCGTCGAACACTCTGTCAATCGTTCCCGCTTACCGACTCTCCACGTTTCCGCTCAACACTTCAGGTACACCGGCAAGTGCTTCCATACCCTTCGTGTAGACCTCTCGTCTCTGCCCTTCTTCCTACATTCTTGGTGCTAAGCAACTCCTTGTGCTGCCGCGCCCCATGCTACCCGCTATGGATTTCTCTTCCCCCAACCTCGTCACGAGGGTACTCTTTGCCACTCTTGTCCTCGTGGCCGCCTCATACCCTTCTTTGCGTGTTAATGACAACGGCCCATCGCCTCAAAGCACTTCCCTTCTCGGAACACGCCTCACAGCCCAGAGGAGACACGATACTCCTGTTGCAGTTCCTCAACCTGCTTCCATGCACTTCAGTTATGTTAGCTTTTGGAAGAATCACTTTCAACCGCGTGGCGAACCGCGATCACAATTACCCAGCGATGAAATTGATAGTTCAACTGTGGTTCCGGACAAAGACAGTAAGAAATTTACTTGGGACCCATGTGGCCATACGGGCGACTGCGAGCCTGACCGTCGTTGCTTGGACTTGGAACAAGCTGAAAATGGCAAATTCGCCAATTGTGAAAAGGGGAAGTCACATGACAGATGCTTCTGTGTCCCACTGCAAAATACCAATGGCGAAGGAAAGATTTTTGGCGAATGTGATGGATCCGCAGACTGCGTTCCTGAAGAGTTTTGTACGAAAGAGGACCTGGTTGATCACCCATTCTGTATCTCTCGCACTTACATCGGCAATACAAATGAGTTTCCGGAGTTTGAGTCACAATCTGCGCCGCCAGAAGATCAGCCTGCTTCTAATGTTAAACCCCAATCTGAAGAAGATGGTGAATCACTGCCGAATGACGTGTGTGTGGACGCCAAGGCACTGGAGCATTTACCCTCGCACAATCTTGTATTCCAGAGACATGCAACCGCCAAGGTGTTGTGCGACGCGAACCGAAGTTGTGCCACTCCTGGGCACATGGTAACATATAAGCGCGAGGCAATGATGATGCGCACATACTGCGGCTTGGTCGGGTGCAAGGAAGATATCATGGCAGTGAATAGTCCTCGCTACAGGCGGGGGCTTAGCATCAAATCGAAAACGACATGGCTCGAGTACTCGTCATTTGCTGCAAGGTACCAGACTAAAGCCGAGGAAATGCTGATCAGAATTGCTGTGCACGTTGGATTGTGAGATAAGTCTGGTGTAGAGGTTTATATATATTTTATGTCGTTCGATGCATGAGTTTTGCAGCAGAGCTTTTGCAAGTATTCCTGGACGTGAACTTGAACATTAAAATTGAAATTATATGCAATAGCTCTCCAACGTTTGCCATAGATGTTCGTATAAATTAGAGATAGGCATGGATACTCTCTCTAACGCCTGTATCTTGCTGAACCAACGGACGTTGTGAGAAACTTAGGTGAGCCCGTTGAAAAATGCGTCGCGAAGTTGTTGCGGAAGGAATTTTTTTTCTCTTCATCCATAAACGAAGTACAGTGGTATAGATGCTTGACTGTATTAGTAAGCCCCTTGCGCAAACTAGATGTACTAAGATGCGTTGTCGAACCGCATCAAGCATTAGTTCAGAGTTGGTGCGCGTGGCAACCCTGAAAATGTCAAGCATGCGGTGTTTGATGAACAGTTCACTGCTCCGCTTGGTTTTACTGACGGGAATTTTAATCCGGATAAAACTGTTGAAATTTTCCAAAAAAAGACTACGCGATCGACGAAACGACTGCACAGGTTGCTGCCTGCCTATCGTCGTCGACCCGCGCCGCCAGCCTAGCTCGAACCGAACCATCCTCACCTGTCCCGTCTGACCGACGTCCCGCCCCACTCATCATCGCCCGTGCTCCTGCGCTACCCTCCCCCCTCTCCCCCACATAACACACTCCCCCATCGCCATGGACAGTGGTTTCTGGCGTCGCGGTGGCACGCCGCAGCAGACTTTCACTGAAGCAGATATCGCTGCCGCCGACGACCGCGCCGGGTCCGAGTACCGCGAGATCCCTGAGATCGTTGAACAATTCGTCCGCTACATGTACAAATGCTTTCTTGATCGCAATACTAGCGAACTCCACACCCTGTATGAAACTGTCTTCGCCCGTCTCACCGAGCACTACTACAAGGCCTCGACCTGGCCTTCGTCAGAAATGATTTCGCGGCTCGTTGATAACGACGCAAACTTTCTCATGTTTTACAACGAGCTCTACTACAGGCACCTATTTTCCAAGATGCAGCCGAGTCTGGCCCAGCGCTACGAAGGTTGGATGAACTATCGCGCTTTGTTCAACCATTTTATGCAGGACGGCATGGTTGATTACGACCTCCCCGTATCTTGGATCTGGGACATCATTGATGAGTTTATCTACCAGTTTGAGTCCTGGTGCCAGTATCGTGCGAAGCTTATGAACAAGAGCTCCGAAGAGATCCAATATCTCCGCCAGAATGACAGCATTTGGAGCGTCCAGACCGTCCTGTCGCTTCTGCATTACCTCGTCAACAAGTCCAATATCATTTCTTGGTTGCTCAATAACGGCGACCCTACCGGCTCGGATGATCCCGACAGCGAAACCTTCGACATTAGTACGCTGGCCGTCTATCGTTACATCGGCTATTTTGCGATCATCGGACTGCTACGAGTTAACACTTTGCTCGGTGACTACCGCCTCGCTCTCATGGTTTTGCAACCACTGGATTTTGACGTTTCTAGTGCTTTGTTTACCCACGTCACTGCTTGTCACGTCTCAATTTACTACTACATGGGCTTTTGTTATATCATGCTGCGTCGTTATGAGGATGCTGCTCGCATATTTTCATCTACCGTACTGCACATCGGCCGTATCAAGCACAACCACACGAGAAGCTACCAATACGAGCAAATTAATAAGCGAAACGATCAGATGATGGCACTTCTCGCTCTTTGCTTGACTTTGCAACCCCTGCAAGTTGACGAAAGTATGATGTCGATGGTGAGAGAAAAGGCGGGCGATCGCCTTGCTCGTCTCCGCCAAGGCGAGCCCCATGCTTTCGAAGATTTGTTCATTTACGCTAGTCCGAAGTTCATATGCCCCGCCGCGCCAGACTATGACGTCATTGATGATACCAATATGGAGGCGCCACGGCTGCAGACAAAGCTATTCATGGAGGAGGTCAAATCACAGCTGCTGCTTCCTGAGATTCGTTCCTATCTGAAGTTGTACACCAAGATTGAGATCGAGAAGCTTGCAGCGTTGATGGATGTGGATGAGAGCACTCTTCGAAGCCATCTGCATGCATTGAAACATAAGAGCTGGACAATGACGGGCAGCTTCCATGGACCCCCGCTACAGGGTGAATGGAAGACGTCGTCAGACGTGGGATTCCATGTGGAAAGAAATGTGGTGCACATTTCAGACACAAAGACTTCATCGAGATACGGCGAATATTTCATACAGAACATCGGCAAACTGGACGACTTGTACAGCCAGCTAAAGCGCAGAATGCCGGGCGCCACTACATCTGCTAGCAAGGCAAGATCAGCACGGGTAGCATAATGTCGAAGATTAAACGAGAGTTAACACGGAACTTCAATTGCAACTATTCTAGTGTGCTTATCGGTTGAATGAGCAATTACATGGTACAGTTAGTTTGTTTTGGGTTTGTCAGAGTTTGTCAGAGTGCTGAACCATAGACCTGTGGACGGTGGTACGAATTTGTGCCTTGGAGAGGAGACAGGAATCTCCCCAAGGATTGCACTTCGCTCCTGTATATTCCTCTGCATCCGCTGATGATATGTGAAACCAAACATGCCACCGGCAATGACCGGCAGAATCGCATACATCAAATAGAACAGCCACACCACATTGTTAGGTTTCTTCACGTCCTGACCTTCCACTTCAGCATTCAGCAAGATCTCTTCCGACAAGGGCTGATTGCAGATCTCCTCATGCAATTGCTCCTCGAGCCTTTTCGAAGCCCGTATGACCTGCAGCGAGGCGCCTTCAACATTCGCAACTGAAAGCGTCTCCACCGCCCGCTCCCACGCTCCATACAAGAGCTGTAAACTATCTCGCACTACAGCGCGACTATCTGCAATCGCACTGCCTTTCTCATGCGGAATCAAACGCGGATCCAAGCCTTCAAAGTTGAGCAAGTCAACCGCCTTCCTTGCCGCGCTAGCCTCCGACCAATCCAGTTCCTGTCTCAGCACATTGCGGCGCACAATGTCGTGCAGCAGGACTGAATTCTTGCGTTTCCTTGCATCTAAATACCCTAGCTCATGTCGATTGACGCCACAAATCATCTCCAACACATCCTTCGCTGCCTCCGAAGTCGTAGTTGCATACGTCTTTTCCTTTGCATCGCGGAGTCGATTCTCAATCATGAAGACGGCGTTTTTCTCCACAACCATCGATCGCACGCTCTCGCCTGTTTTAAAGTGCGTAACCCGCGAATCATCGGCGAATGAAAACAACACCATCGGCACATGTGCTACAAACGACTTGTCCACAAAATATGCAGCGCCTTCCGTCTCATTCTGCACCAAATCTACATTCAAGCTCTCGCTGTCCAGCGCGATATCCAAGCCTTCGACGGAAAAGGCCCGTGCCAAGGCCATGGCCATGACCAGATCATTCTCGACATCAACGTGCTCGACAGCAATGGACACGCGCTTCTCCCCCGCGCCGCGAAACACATCCTGCACGAGCTGGTGAAAGACTGCGGGATCAAAGGTCGAGCCCAACGGCTTGTTCGCCTTGCTGTCGCCCGACACGCCGCCCATCCTCCCCACCACGGCGCTGACATCCACGAGCTTCAATGTGAAGGCCAAGGTGGTTTCGTGCGGAAAGCGACGCATGTTTGGGGACACGGACGGGGTGAACAAGGCGGCAGCAATGTCGGCCAACTTGTCGGCGTACAATGCCGGCTCCCTTCCGAGGGCGAGCAGCTGCTCGCCAGGGGTGGACTCTGCAGAATTATCCAGAAAGTAGGGCTTGGCGTCGACATCGAGAACGGCGAGGCGGTTTTCCGTAGACACAGCAATGGTCCTTGGTGGGGCGCCTTGCTCGGCGACATATCCCCTCTGCGGAGCCACGGATGCGGCGTTGTAGAGCACGAGCGTATAGACGCGAGGTCCCTCGGAGGGTGTGAAGGCGTGATCGGTGCGGAGGATGTGGTAGAAAGCGTCTGCGACGGCCGCGGACGAAGCGAACATGGAGGAAGAGTTGTGTATGGCGGCGGTAAGGGCGGCGTCGAGACGGGGGAGGGTGGCGGGGTGGGCGGTGGAGAGGGAGAAGGTGTAAAAGAGCTCTAGAACCGAGCAAGTGGGGGAAGGCGGGGCCGGGTGGCGCAGGATGCGCGAGAGGGAGGAGACGAAGGAGGAAGTCAGAGTGGGGGAGTCGCGGAGGAAGATGGGGGTGTAGCCGGCGAGCAGGAGGTTGATGTGGATGGGAAGGGCCGTGGAGGAGTTGTACGGGCGGCATGGAGGGGGGCTCGCATGGGAAAGGGTTGGAGGGAGGAGAAGGACGAGGACGAGGACGAGGACGAGGGGAGAGAAGCAGAGGGGCGGGAGTAGAGGACGACGCATTGCATTTCGTTTGGACGGCGGTGGAGGAGGCGGTGGAGGAGGCGGTGGGTGCGGAGGTGGTGAAGGTGGGGAGCGGGGGGGGGCCTTGCGGGTTTCTTCGTTGCTGGTTGTCAAGGGCGATGGTCCGCGCACACTTTTTCTTTAATTTTTGGGCGCCCATTGAGCACAGGATCAAAACTATTTCCCCCCCGGTCTTGCCAATGCTCGTCCGCGCAAGCTCAACTTGGGTTGCGCCAACCTGCACGCGAGCATCAAAGCACCATGCGCTCCTTCTTCTCCCGAACCTGCCCTCCCGATCCGCCCCACACCATTACCAGGGGGAGCTTGATTGCCCGCTCGCATCCAACTGGGCGGTGTGTAGCAGCCAAAGCGATCCACTGCCGCGCAAGCTCAACCTGTTGCGCCAGCCTGCACGCGGGCATCAAAGCACTATGCGCTCCTTCTTCTCCCAAACTTGCCCTCCCGATCCGCCCAACAGCGTCTCTCGGGCTCGCCCACTTCTGTCGCCATCCCTCTCACGACGTCCACGAACTTGTTCGTGGCCCCTGTCATGAAAAGGCATTGCGTATGGCGTATATATAGTCCGCACACGTGTACAAAACGTCATCGCATATCGGAGTACTCGTGTACACGTGCGCTTCACTCAACTCCTCCGGGCCCCGGTTCGGGCCACGCATCCAGCAGCACCCGCGTGCTAAACTCTACTTCGACGGGACACTGGCGCCACGCTTTGTGCGCTTCGTGCAACCTCTTGAAGATGCCCTCCCCAATGTTTCTCTGAAACTTCACCTTCCTCTCGCCACGCACAGGCAAACAGACCGTCTCTTCCAATCTATATAAAACCTCCCCCCGCTTTCGCCCCATCTTGCCCCAGCAGACACACTCTTTGTCGTCCAAAATCCTCATGATAATCTCCAAATACTTGTACTCCTGCGAAAGCAGCACGCCAGCCCTCAGCTCCACCGTCACCGTCATGTCCACGGGAGGCCGTGCCTCCGTCGTCACTATCAGGTGTATGGCCGAATGAGCGTAAAACTTCTGCGGACTCCTCCATTCCTCCGAATCTGCTTCCAACGATTTCCTATTCGTCCCAGCCGGTCCAAACAGATAGTACTCGGAACGCGGCATGATGGACCATACGTTCACCATCCAAGAAAACGACATCTCATACCTGCCATGCGACGGCTCCAAAAGCGACCTAGCCAGCAGCCGGTGCGCGCGTAGCGAGCAGTCTTCACGCGCGTCCCTCGCGCCGTCCAGTAGGTAGCGCTGGCGCAACGACATGGGACGTACCATCTCGAGTAGCTTGAGCGTCGTGTCGTCGTCGTCAATGCGCGGTTCCAGATCGCGCATCAACATGTCCAGCAGCTGCGCTTGTATGTCCTGGTTCCTCGTTTTCGTTAAGGCGCGCAACAGCGTCGGCAGCGCAGACTGTGACAGCGCTAGATCCCAGATTCCAGGGAAACCGGGACACTCCCGGACGTTGAAATGCTCCTCGCCGGCGTCGGCGTGGCTTGCTTCCGTGTGGACCATGGCGAATCGCGAAAAGGAGACGCCCACAAGGTTCCAGAAGACCTCGACAAATGAAGGTGCCACGGCAGGTAAGGCGACAACAGGGACCGCGCAGAGAAGAGCTTCCTCGTCATCTAGAAGGTTAAAGGCAACGACATACGCGCAGATGCCTTGAAGCAAGTCGTGCAGCTGCCATCTATGAGCCGCTGCGGCTATGCGAAAGACAGCGCCATGTTTTCGGTCATCAAGCTCTACCGGGCAGGCATACAGAAAGGCTCGAATAGCAGCAAAGGAGTCCGGGTCATCCTCATCTGACAGTTCGACGAGGCGCTCGGCACTCTCGCGGAAGTTTGCCGAGACGAGGACGGCCAACGGGCCGCCCGCGTGAAGCAAGCGCGACTTGTGGATGAAGAGCGGGGGTGCCGGGGCGGGTAAGCGGAAAGTTATGAGGGTGTCAGGTTCGTTTCGTGACTCGCAGAAACTGCATAGGGACTGGAGACAACTGGCGGTGGGGGTTAGGGTGGTGCCCTTCAGAATCCAAGAGTTGGAGAATGAGTCAATGATCCTTTCGTGCGCGTCAGGGGGGGGGACTGGTGACATGGTGTCCGACTGCAAGGCTGCGGAGGAGACTTTTTTCTCCAAAGCCGATGGGTGTGCTGTACCCTTCAAGGTATACAAGCCGATGGGTGTGCTGTACCCTTCAAGGTATACAAGCCGATGGGTGTACCGTACAGTACCCTTGAAGGGTACCTTCAAAAGGTATACACAGAGCCCCGGACCGTCTGGCACTGTACCAGAAACAAAAACTTGACACGTGTGTGATTACACGTGTGACACTCACTTTTCAGCCCCGCACACTACAAACAAGGTACAGTATGCCAGCAATGTCAACCTGCTCCTGACCCGAGGAGGATTCCATAGTATTGCCAGGGGTCCTCTCTGGTCTTCAAACTCTTCATCTTCAACCTTCCAAGGTCACGCACGCCCAGCAAGAGAAGAGCAATAAAAAAAGTGTTGGGAGACGTCGTTGATCTTTTGCGAATCAAAGCACAAGGCTGTGGAGTACCCCGGAGAGCTGACAGCATTTCGTAACTTTCTTTCATGTTTGTCTTTGTATGTTTGTTTTTCTTTCATGTCTTTCTTTCAATTTTGCCCTGCGCGGCGATTTTGCCCTGCGCGGCGATTTTGCCCTCCGCGGCGATTTTGCCCTCCGCGGCGATTTTGCCCTCCGCGGCGAGGACGGGGCCATTCGGGGTGGCCGAGGGCCAGTCTAGCTTCGGGGGAGCTTCGTAGCAGAAAGATCGCCAGCGAGGGGTCTCGAGCACTTTAGTCCCGACACTCTCGGTTGGGTGTTGGGCTTTCAAGGCTATTGTGGTAAAAGGGAGTGCCGGGCACTCCCTTTTACCACACTGTGCACACTGTGCACAGTATATGTAGTAGCGAAATCCAACAGCTATGAAGGCGAGGATGAGTTTTGGGCACGGGCTCCAATAAGGTTGCGACACGTGAACATGGATAATTATCTGGGCGCTTGTGTCTTCACACGTGGACACGTGCACTTGTTGTATCTCAACTGAGATCAATATGCAATCCTCCGTCACATCCGATCAATCCCTTGCCGATGTCCAGCTCGCACTACCCTAGACATACCTTGCAACTTGCGACTTCAACCGGGCGGCCCTCCTTCCCTCCCACCCTCCAGCGCAACGCTCCCGACCACCACCATGCGCTTCTGGCGGACATCCCCGCCGCCTCCGCCGCTCCCGCCGACCATCCTCGAGCTGTACCTGGCGCACCGCCCGGACGCCGCGCTGGAGCCTTCGACCTTCGCCTCGCGCCGCGTCGCGCTGCCGGCCCAGACCCCGACCCAGGCCCTGGTCAAGACGCTCTACTTGTCGTGCGACCCGGCCATGCGCGTGTGGCTCAGCCCGGCCCGCTCGTACATGCCGCCGGTCCCGGAGGGCGCGCGTATGCGCGCCTTCGGCGTGGGCGAGGTCGTGCGCCCCGGCCCGGCCCTGCGCGTCGGCGACCTCGTCGAGGGCATGCTGGGCTGGGGCGAGTACGCCGCCCTCGAGGAGGACAAGCTCAAGCGCGTCGCAGTCCCCAGGGGCCTGCCGCCCTCCGTCATGCTCGGCGTGCTCGGCATCACCGGCCTCACGGCCTACTTCGGCCTGCTCCAGGTCGGCGCCCTCAAGCGCGGCGAGACGGTCGTCGTGTCCGCGGCCGCGGGTGCCACGGGGAGCGTCGTGTGCCAGATCGCGAAGAACGTGTACGGATGTCGCGTGGTCGGCATCGCTGGGGGGACCGTCAAGTGCCGCTATTTGGAGGACGTGTTGGGCGTCGCTGCCGTAGACTATAAGAGCGAGGAGGGCGTGGACGCCGGGCTGAAGCGCGTGCTCGGGAAGAGCCGCATCGACGTGTACTTCGATAACGTCGGCGGGAAGACGCTTGAGGCCGCGCTGCGCAGGATCGCGCAGGGGGCGAGGATCGTCGTGTGCGGCGCCATCAGCGGGTATAATAAGAAGGAGCTTCAGCCCGGGCCGTATAATTACGTCAACTTGATCTCGTATGGGGCGACGATGAGGGGCTTTTTGCTGCGCGAGTTTGAAAAGGAGTTTGACAGAGCTAAGGCAGATCTGTCGAGGTGGATCAGGGAGGGCAAGGTTGATTTCAGGGAGGATGTGGTAAATGGGCTGGAGAACGCTCCGGAGGGGATGAAGAGACTGTTCGAGGGGAAGAACATCGGCAAGGTCGTGATTCGTGTCGCCGAGGGAGGCACCGGTGTCCAAGCAAAGCTCTAGAGAGAGAGAGAGAGAGAGAGAGAGAGAGAGAGAGAGAGAGAGAGAGAAAGAAAAAGAGAGAAAGAAAAAGAGAGAAGGTACGGGTACGGCACAAGCTGCACGCCAGCAGCGGCGGTTGTGTCGAGATGGCAAGCAAGATGGTCGCGGCATGAATAATTGGAAACACAGATGATGTCAAATTCTAAAATCTCCGCCCATCACCCTCCACCTCACGAGTCCCACAAGCCCCCCTCCTCCCCTCCACCACCTCTCCGCTTCAGACAAATGTCGTGCCCCTCCCTCCCTCCCTGGGAGGCCGACACACTCACTCTGCGCCCCTCGCGCGCCTACCTCGACCTCTTCTGTTCGCACTACCGCGCCATCGACACGGCCGACCCGCTCTTGCACTTCCGCTTTACGCCCTCTGCGCCGGAACAACCTGTCCACCACTCGCGCCTTCTGTTCGTTGGCGGTCCACTCGCCGCACTCGCCACCCGCGACTTTCGCGAGAAGAACAGTGCTGTTGTCACCCTGTCCCCGCTCGATGCGCCGGACGTCTTCGCCCTCATCCGCCGCTTTCTCTACGCCGCACCCCTCCCGCTCGAAGACGTCGCCGTTGACAGATTGTTGCGTCTCGCCAGAGCCACCCATCGATGGCAGCTAACACCCCTTTTCGAGGCCCTCTGCACGTTTGTAGCGGAGCAGGGCTTTTTGGATGACCCGCAGAATGTCCTGCAGGCCGCCGACTTGTCCACCCTCCCCGACGTCCCGCCCCTCTTCGTGACCACCTTCTGGACAGCTGCTGCCAAGGCCTTCGATGATTTTGGCCCGCAGCCACTTCCGAAGCGAGGGCGTTGCCGCCTTGCGTTGGAAGATAGCGATGATGAAGACGCTGCGTCGTCCAGCGAGCAGAACCCCGGCACCAGCGCCAAGTCAGCCGATATCCCGCCTATTCTCGCCCGCCTTTGCCCCAGATTTCCGCACATTTGGGACATAGCCTTATCACAGCAAATACTCCCCTCCTTCCTGCTCTCTGTCAGCTCCTTCTCTAAGCGCGACCTCACAATCGACTTGCTCGACCTTCTCGTGCAGTATATCGAGCCGCGTCTTGCCAGCGACGACGTCCTCGTTCGCCTCTTTTCTGCACTGGACCCGGGCGCTGTGAGCGCGGAAAGGCTCTTCGAGCGGCCTTCTCTCGTGAGTGAGTGCTCGCCGCGCGCGATGCGACTGCTGGCCAAATCGATACTGTCCGCGTCGCATCTCAAGCATGAGATGTCGTTTTCGTGGGAGATCCCGTCCATGGTTTCTGGCATGGTGCGCAAGACCTTCTTTTTTGGCGCTTGTTCATACGCGGGTAAGGATAACGCGTTTAGTGCACTATCGGCGCGCGTGCATATAGAAGAAGATAAGGGGCTGTACAGCACAGAGTCGTGCGTACTGTTTAATCTAGATGCACTTGTGACGGGCGGTTCACCAAGCATGTTTCATTTGCAGTGGGATGTTGGGCACGCTTTCCCGCTCAAAGATAAGGACATGGACTTACGCGTTGCCATCATCGACTCGGATTGCTCATGCCCGTGCTATCGCGCGAGGGGGGGGAAGGAAGTGCAACTGGCTAAGGGTCTGTATGAACCGAACTTGTATGAATGGAAGCGGAGCGAGAAGGTGGAGCGGTCGAACAAGATTTCGGTCGTTCTTCCCAAGGACTCATTCGAGGCGCTGAGGGAGAGACACAACTATAGCACAAGTAACCCGCTTACAATTTGGCTGCACGTGAGATTACGATAGCTATTGTCCGGAAACGTGCCTTGTCCTGTCTCAGTTGGACGATATCTGGCGAAAAATCTGTTTCGTTGCACGCAGCATGCCCTGTGCCACTGAACAGGACTTTCAAGAGGTGCCAGCGCCATTCGTTAAGTGTAGCGACGCAAGTACAATAAGCTTGATTTTTGCGCTGAAGTTATTCAGACCTTTACATAAGACTGCAAGGCTGAGAAGAAATCGCAGTTGCAGATAGTGTATGTCCAACCTTGTTAATATCCACGATCTAGAGGCCCGCGCGAACAGCTAACCTAATGACCGACTCTTCGATACTGCTTTCATACCTCGCAGAAAAAGTAGTGTACTCAAGCCCACCTGTTCTCGACGCGACCCTCAAAGCCTTCCTGTACGTCGGACTGTTAACATCAATAACATCGTTTTCACATCCGACCTTCTCACAATACCTGCGCATCATCATCGTCTCACCCTTGAACACAACAACATGCCCTGGAGTGGCGCAGCTTCCAGTCGCATCGCACAACACGCGGGCCTTGACGTGGCTGCCGTAAACCAACTCCCCAGCGCCGAGATGTGCCAACGCCCTGGCATCCACGCACCCATCCTCCTCCTCCTCCTCCCCGTCCTCATCCTCTTCCCCCTCATCCTCTTCCCCCTCATCCTCTTCCTCTTCGTCCTCGTTTTGATCGTCACCCTTTGCGGCCGACGTCGGCGCCGGCGCCGGCCTGGGGTCGTCCCCAGACTCGTCAGGGTTGACAGGTGGGAAGCTGTCCGGATGCCTCAGATACGTGTTTGAGATACAGAGCTTTTCCCTGACACCGTCCGGCTGGGAGCAGAACTCGCCGTCCATGCAGACAGGCTCCCTTTCACAACCTAGAAATTGCGGGTGCGGGACGTCGGTCGGGAAGCAGAAGCAAATGTCGTCCGGGGCGGCAAAGTTCTCACACGGGCCAAAATTGGTGCTAGTGACCCAAATACAGCGGCGGACGCCTTTGCAGTGGCCTTGCTCGCGACAAAAGTCCAGGGTGTAGTTTTCGGCTTTTGGGCGCGGGAGGGGGGACGAGTCTGCTACGGCGCCATGCACATCGGCGGGGGAGCTGATGCGGGTAATGTCGTTGCTGAGCGGGACGAGGAGAGTTTTGGGATCCACGGCGCGTATGGTTTGGACGAGATGGGCGTAGGGGGGTGGGGGGGCTGCGGAGGAAAGGAGGACAAGGGCGGAAAGGAGGGCGACGGGGAGAAGGGCGAAGGGAGAAGGCATGATAGGGTGGGCGGTGGGAAGCGCAGATCGGCGGGGAAACGGATATGGGCGTGGGTGATGGGCGTGGGTGAAATTGCAGGAAGTCGGGGTCGTGCAAGGCGTTGACGGGGTCGGAGACGGGAGTTGCAGGTGATAGCGAAAGTCGCCGGTAGTGAGAAGGGGGGCGACTCCGTCTTTATTACCCGAAGGGTAGATGTGGCGGGCAAGAAATGCTCCGTAGACAAAAACGCGGAGTATGACACAGTAGGCTACGTAGTATGGTTTAGATAGAAATGTAATCAGGATTTAAAGGCCTAGTGAAATGTTAACACGTCTTAATTACGAAGAGTGGTGAGTGCTAGGCGTGTTTCGTCCAATCGCGCGGCTGGGGAGCCTTTACAGAAGGGAGGAGGATCCCGAGAAGATGGCCGCCTTCTGGGCAGTGTACCACATGGCCGGCGGTGCTTCCGGGGTGCGCTTCTGGGGATGTTCACGAGTCCTTGCGAGCACAAAGATGGCTTGCGAGCACAAAGATGGGGGCCATGCGCATGCCATGCGAGTGGTGCGACCAACCACCGGTTCGGAGAACCCGCTCCTGTGATCATTGGATCATTGTCACTGTATTGGGTGCATCCAGAAAATAGCACTCTAACACTTGAACGAACCGCGTGCGTGGCGTGCCGCTCTTTGACGGCCCCCGGCACTTGTTTAGAGGACCGGCGACTTGTGCGTGCAGAAGTGGAGTCTGCGTAAAACTTTACGGAGCCATGGGTACAGCACCCTCGGAACTGTACCCTCCTCACCGCACGTGCCCACATGCGTTAATGTTACAGTACTGTACAACAGATGTCGCCATGCATCGCCGTAAAGTTTACCTCTTGCTTATATCTTACAGTGTTGCGGTTTCATAGTCCCATGGTACCCTTGGTACTGTACTGTACTTACCCTACACGTTTCACACTTGCGCGTCCCCTTGCGCCCCTTCGCCTGCCTTCGCCAGCTCTGCATGATGATCTTCGCGACGCTTACGCCTCATTCATACTCGCTTCGTACATGAGAGCATTCTGCCGAAAAACTTCCCTCCTCCTCTTCCCGATATCCTGCATCCTCACGCATTTCCGATCCCGCGTTGTACTACACTGTAGTACAATACCAACGGTATATCACTTTTTTCAAAAGTACTGCATCAGAGCAATAGCCAGCTGTACGGCAAAGTAGTCGTCTTTCGCCGACTTTCTGTAGGAAGCGTGTGCCTCTCACCGCAGACGCTCACCAGATTCGCTTGTTTTAGAGCTCCGCCGCGTCCCTTCTCCGTCCCGACATAACTTCCAATCTGCCTTCTCCATCGATTCACAACATGCTGAACCTGCTTGTCCTCTTCGGTGCAGTCGTGTCAATTTCACACTCATCGACTCAATTCAACCCTCCATTGGGGAATTCACTTGTACAGTATACAGTACATGCGTTTCAGAACTCTTTCCATGGTAAAAGGAACCAATAAGATCGAATTCGCATCACGCGTAAATCAGACACGACTCTCAAACATGTTTTTTACGTGCTGAATTTAGTTCACAGTGCGATTAGTCATTCGTGAAGGGGAACACCCTCCGTATGATTCATTCTGACCTTATTAGATGTGCAGTACAAGAAAAGCTGGACGTTTGTTAGAAAATTGAATACTGTACCATCAACTCGCAACTAAAGACCACTGACTGCTCCGAGAAGGGAGAGTTTGAGAATGGACCAGGGTCGTGGCTCGCCACGGATGAGCCATTGTGAAGTGTTCAAATATGACATGGAAGAATGCTAGGGGGAAACCTACTAGCCTTGGGCACTTTACAAAGCGAGAAACCACATGTGGTATAGTATTAACTAGTGTCTATCGGACCGTTAGTCCTCATATGAGGACAAAAGTTATATTTATTTTTTCTAGACAACGCAACGCCCGATTTCACTTGTGTTTTTTGTAACCAAAAGGCCAGTACTACAGGAAAAACACTTGCTTGTCGATTCTGGCGAAAACCAACTCGTTGACGCACATAAAGGTGTTCAAAAGAAAAGATTGGCTTACAGTACCCATTTTTCTTTTAGCAAATTTTATAGCAGTTGTGTTGACAGCTAAAAGGGGGGCTGCGCGCGTAGGGGAGAGAGAAAAGCGAGATGTTTATTTCAAGAGGGGGGGTCGGTCCGGGTGTCGTTGTTGTTCTCCCCCATTGCGGTGTGTCGCGGCGCGCCCCTTTCTCTTATAGAGGGGCCGCCATCATCTTCCACCCCACAGGACCGCCGCCCTTCAAAGGGAGATTGTCCACGTGTACACCTGGCGTACACGCGAACCAACAAAATCACCCTTTTGAAGGCTTTGGTCCTGGGGCCACTCCTAGGCACTGTACCCTGTACAGTACCCCAAATCTCCTTCACACGACCCCCTCCCTAGCCCTACGCCCGGGCAGGGGCAACATATATACTGACCGATGGCCGGTCCTTTGCCCCTGGTGCTCGGCTTGAGTCAAGAAACCGGTGCTCGACCTTGACGATCCAATTGACACAATTTAGTGTCACCATCGACACCCTTCCCCCAATCGCTCCACGTATACACGTGTACAGCTCATCATCACTGTAAGCTTCCACTTCTATCATTAACCTACCCACCTTCTCTAGTTTTCACACAACTAACTTCGGTATTCCTGCGTTTTTCTTGAAGAACCTGACACCGCGTCAGGTCCTAGTTGCCTCCGGTTTTAGAGATCGCTGATTGCTTGTGTGGCAGTACTCAGGTGAGGTTTTAGTCCTCGAGTCTGCCCCTTGCAAGAAACCTGATCTAACGAGGATGGCGAAAACCAAGCAGACGGCGCGCCGCAGTACTGGCGGCAAGGCGCCTCGTAAACAACTCGCGTCGAAGGCGGCGAGAGTATCCGTTGAAGAGCTCAACGCTCGTGAGAGAATAATGTGGCTATTGTCGCAACGAACGGACGTAATGAAGGTGTCGAAGAATGAAGAAGCTTCGCCTCGTTTTCCGTACCATGTATGGGTTGGAACGAGGCTGACAAGGTATGACTTGGATTTGACCGAAATGCTCCGCCTTTTCGGTTAACATGTTCTCGTCCACATAAGTGCGCGAGGAAAGCACGGGGTCTCGGTAAATGAGTTTTCCCGAGTCGGGTTGACTGAATCGATTGACGATGAGCGTGCCTATGATCACGTGGAGGATGAAACTTGGAATATTGAGTCCATCTGCTATGATAGACTCGCAAATAAGTACGTCGCCATCGACGCACGCGACAAGTCGAAGCACTCCATCCTGCTTTATACCCTACAAGTCTGTGGCGGGAACAAATCTTCTGGCCACCAGATCCAGAACGACAAGTTCTACACCAACGGCAGAGACCATTTGTCAGCTTACCTTCTCATTGATGAGTGGTGCCAGAAGTATCCTGGGCGCTGGTTGGCAATGTCCACTTCCGGTGCCCGAACAGAGAGCTCTTTGGCGTCTTCTTTCCATCTCCACAACCTTGGTGCTACTCCCTATCAAGATCGGACTGATCTATGCATCCCAGCTGCCGTTTGCAATTCGATGCGTGCTCTCGGCGCGCGAAAGCTTGCCGATTCGTATTGGAAGCACTTCAAGGAAAATTCGAAGTCGTTTGTGCAGCATGGGAGTCTTCCGCGACGTATTCGTGATCTGAGAGATGCCAACAAGCATCTCAAACGAGAGGAAGTAGTTCTCAAGCATACCTTCGGATCGGTCCCAACGATAGGCAGACTTCTTGCTTTCAGTTTTCAGCTTGCGACGTTTGCGACGCTTAGTGGAAGCGCTAAGCGCTCTTGTGGTGGAAGCACGGACAAGACAGACCTTTCGCATTTCACGAATTTCGAGCAGACTAACTCCATCACCAAGACAGAGTTTCAAAGCTTAAAGGGAGAAGGGCATGGGGTACGGTTCCATACAATCCAATATGATATGATCGTTTGAAGATACGCACACCGTATGCAACTTGTTTGAACTCCCCTCAAGCGTGACAACAAACACTCCCGACTCGACATCCAGAAGTCTGCCTATCGTTGGGACCGATCCGAAGGTATGCTTGAGAACTACTTCCTATCGTTTGAGATGCTTGTTGGCATCTCTCAGATCACGAATACGTCGCGGAAGACTCCCATGCTGCACAAACGACTTCGAATTTTCCTTGAAGTGCTTCCAATACGAATCGGCAAGCTTTCGCGCGCCGAGAGCACGCATCGAATTGCAAACGGCAGCTGGGATGCATAGATCAGTCCGATCTTGATAGGGAGTAGCACCAAGGTTGTGGAGATGGAAAGAAGACGCCAAAGAGCTCTCTGTTCGGGCACCGGAAGTGGACATTGCCAACCAGCGCCCAGGATACTTCTGGCACCACTCATCAATGAGAAGGTAAGCTGACAAATGGTCTCTGCCGTTGGTGTAGAACTTGTCGTTCTGGATCTGGTGGCCAGAAGATTTGTTCCCGCCACAGACTTGTAGGGTATAAAGCAGGATGGAGTGCTTCGACTTGTCGCGTGCGTCGATGGCGACGTACTTATTTGCGAGTCTATCATAGCAGATGGACTCAATATTCCAAGTTTCATCCTCCACGTGATCATAGGCACGCTCATCGTCAATCGATTCAGTCAACCCGACTCGGGAAAACTCATTTACCGAGACCCCGTGCTTTCCTCGCGCACTTATGTGGACGAGAACATGTTAACCGAAAAGGCGGAGCATTTCGGTCAAATCCAAGTCATACCTTGTCAGCCTCGTTCCAACCCATACATGGTACGGAAAACGAGGCGAAGCTTCTTCATTCTTCGACACCTTCATTACGTCCGTTCGTTGCGACAATAGCCACATTATTCTCTCACGAGCGTTGAGCTCTTCAACGGATACTCTCGCCGCCTTCGACGCGAGTTGTTTACGAGGCGCCTTGCCGCCAGTACTGCGGCGCGCCGTCTGCTTGGTTTTCGCCATCGTCGTTAGATCAGGTTTCTTGCAAGGGGCAGACTCGAGGACTAAAACCTCACCTGAGTACTGCCACACAAGCAATCAGCGATCTCTAGAACCGGAGGCAACTAGGACCTGACGCGGTGTCAGGTTCTTCAAGAAAAACGCAGGAATACCGAAGTTAGTTGCGTGAAAACTAGAGAAGGTGGGTAGGTTAATGATAGAAGTGGAAGCTTACAGTGATGATGAGCTGTACACGTGTATACGTGGAGCGATTGGGGGAAGGGTGTCGATGGTGACACTAAATTGTGTCAATTGGATCGTCAAGGTCGAGCACCGGTTTCTTGACTCAAGCCGAGCACCAGGGGCAAAGGACCGGCCATCGGTCAGTATATATGTTGCCCCTGCCCGGGCGTAGGGCTAGGGAGGGGGTCGTGTGAAGGAGATTTGGGGTACTGTACAGGGTACAGTACCTAGGAGTGGCCCCAGGACCAAAGCCTTCAAAAGGGTGATTTTGTTGGTTCGCGTGTACGCCAGGTGTACACGTGGACAATCTCCCTTTGAAGGGCGGCGGTCCTGTGGGGTGGAAGATGATGGCGGCCCCTCTATAAGAGAAAGGGGCGCGCCGCGACACACCGCAATGGGGGAGAACAACAACGACACCCGGACCGACCCCCCCTCTTGAAATAAACATCTCGCTTTTCTCTCTCCCCTACGCGCGCGCCCCCCTTTTTAGCTGTCAACATGGTACTCTTGTGGAGGGGGGGCAAAGAGGACGGCTCCCTGTCACAGTTTGACGGGTCGAAGCCGGCCGACGTCCACAAGTTCTTCTTCGTGTTCGAAAATGTTGCCACCTCTGGTAAGTCGGACGAAGAAAGGGCATCTGAACTCCTTCGCTACCTGGAAGGAGATGCATTCGACTTCTTTTATCAAGCCTTTGTCAAGAACGGAGATATCAGTGCAGATAGCTCCGACTACCAGAAGGTCAAGAAGGCCTTGGTCGAGCGGTTCGCCCCGGTTGAATCACATGAAGATGTGATTCGGGAAGCGATGGCCGCTCGCCTTTCTTTTGGGGATCTCAGGGTCCCTTCGAAACTCAGACCGTCTCTACGAGAAGGCGGGATTCAACGACGAAGCGAAGTTCGGACTGCTTCGCAACGCCGTGATGGAACATCTCGAGTTGGCCCAGTTTGCCATCTATCGAGGTGCGAAGACCTACAAGGCCCTATTCGATGAAATCATGGACTTCCGGTCTGGTCGCTGCGCCTTTCAGGCGGCGGCGAACTACTTGTGCAATTCGCACTACCAGGGTTCAGAGAGCTCGCAAGTTATGTATGAGCCGAGAGGGCAAGGTGGGTCAAAAAGGGTCATGATGCGTTCAAAAGCTCCCTTGTCTCCACTCGAGACGAAGGTTGACGCTTTAGCTGATCGACTAGCCGATATTTCCCTTATTATCAAGAAGAATCAGTCGAGGGATGACGCAACAGCATTCCGCCCCGCCCACGATCGTACTTGTTCTTTTTGCAAACGACCGGGTCATGGCGCTAATAGATGCATTGCGAATCCGCATAGGGACACGAAATGCCCTCGCTGCGGAAAATTTGGTCATTCAGAGACAAGCTGTTGGGCTAGAATTGGTCCACAGAGGGGAGGTAGCAGTGCCTACCCTCCTCAGAAGACCCAGACGGATATTGCTGTGTCGGGTACACGGACGGGCTCCGCAGGAAACCAGGTGAGTGTTGTGACGCACGACCACCTCCCTGCTGATGAGAAGTTAGTGGCATCAGTCAAGAGAAACGCCGATGGAGAGCAGGTGGCCAAGACGCGAAAGGATGGTGGCGGCGAGCCAATCCCGTCCCTTCTCAACCCGCGTAAGTACTGGACTCCGAACCACATGAGGAAACCTCCTAAGCCCGGCCGTCGAACAAGAAAGAAGAGGACAAGTAAGAAGAACGCCGTCCAAGAGCACTCGGGGAAGTACGATGTGGTTTCTTCCCTCGCGAACGCCCCCTCTGGTTTGACATTCGGTCAACTGATTCGAGGAGATGGCGACGAGGCCAAGAAAGAGATCCGTCGTTTGTTCAACAGTCGCCCTAGACGCCCCGTAGCTGCTTCGATCGGTACTTTGCCGAAACGTCTGAAAGTAGTTTCGGTACAAGTCTACGGGACGTATAAGTTCGAAGTAATGCCCTTTGGATTGATGAATGGGCCTTCGACATTTCAGAGAATGATGGATACAATCTTTCGCGGAGTGCAGTTTGTGCGTGTGTACCTCGATGAAGTTGTGGTGTTCTCTAAGACTATAGAAGAACATCTTCGGCACCTGCAGCATGTATTTGATGTGCTTGACGAGGCTGGTCTTAAGCTTAAGCTGACAAAGTGTAGCTTCACCCAGGCGAAGATCAAGTTGCTCGGTCATATTGTCGACAAAGGCGGGATTGCCGTTGACCCGAGCAAGGTCGAAGTAATTCGGAGTGCACCGATCCCGACCACTACGACTGAACTTAGGAGCTTTCTCGGGTTAGCAAGCTACTACCGTCGTTTCATCTGCAAGTTTGCGGATATTGCTGCGGTACTCCATGCCGCTACATCCGAAAACGGCAGATTGAAATGGACCGGAGAAATGCAAGAAGCCTTTGATGAACTACGCATAAAGTTAACTTCTCCGCCAGTCTTGGCTTACCCAGACTTCTAGAAGCCCTTCGTCGTTGAGACGGATGCATCATCGGTGTCCGTCGGGGCTGTGTTGGCTCAAAAGAAGGAAGATGGGAAAATACACCCCATCCAGTACGCAAGCCGTACTATGAATACATCTGAGCGCAAGTACTCCGCTTGTGAGCGTGAGGCGCTTGCGGTTATCTTTGCTTTGAAGAAATTTCATGTTTACGTGCTTTCGTCTACACCTTTCAAGTTGATTACTGATCACCGGGCTCTTAGTTACGCCTTTCGCAAGAAAGACATCCACGGTCGTTTGGCCCGTTGGCTAGACTTCTTAGCCGAGTACGACTTCACCGTGGAATATCGTCGTGGATCCGCAAATAGTGCAGCTGACTACCTTTCTCGCATTCAGCCCAAGAACGGCGACAACCCAACTTGCCAGGAAGAGGGAGACCTTGCCCTCGCTATCACGACCCCGATCTACTCTCTAGAAGATCTAGAAGAGTCTTGCCAAGATATCATGTCCTATCTGCCAGGCGAAACACCGGTTGGGTTGGATGATTACAGGAAGTCTCGCATGAAGAATAATGCGAAGAACTTTCTAGTGTGGGAGTCGAAGTTGTTCCGCCGCACCATTCATGGTCTTCGTGTTGTTGCCCCAATTTCCGATCGCGAAAAGGTACAGAAGGGTTTCCATGACGACATTGGTCATTGGGACTTGAAGACCACTCGTCAATTTGTCACGGAAAGGTACTGGTGGCCGACCGTTTGTATGGACGTGGGAGACTACGTGAAGAGTTGTGACGGGTGTCAGAAGGCGCGTCCGATTCCCAAATACAAGACTACTTTGCGGCTTCCCATCACAAGCTTGTTTGATGTTTTCTCTATTGACTTTGCTGGCCCCTTCCCTGCCACCTCGTCCGGAAATCGCTTCATGTTGGTTGCGGTCGAACACCTCACAGAATGACCAATTGCCCTATCCACTGCTGATAGTACTGCTCAAGTGGTTCTTGACTTAGTCAAGAGAGAAATCATGTACTCATTCGGCCCCCCACAAGAGTACCATGTTGACAGCTAAAAAGGGGGGCTGCGCGCGTAGGGGAGAGAGAAAAGCGAGATGTTTATTTCAAGAGGGGGGGTCGGTCCGGGTGTCGTTGTTGTTCTCCCCCATTGCGGTGTGTCGCGGCGCGCCCCTTTCTCTTATAGAGGGGCCGCCATCATCTTCCACCCCACAGGACCGCCGCCCTTCAAAGGGAGATTGTCCACGTGTACACCTGGCGTACACGCGAACCAACAAAATCACCCTTTTGAAGGCTTTGGTCCTGGGGCCACTCCTAGGTACTGTACCCTGTACAGTACCCCAAATCTCACTCACAAGTTGCATAGAAACATTCCGTATAGTGCTTCCTATTCCGTTCTACCTTTAGAAAAGTTTTTAAAGCGAGTCAACCTACCAAAGAAAAGTAGAAACCGTGGGCATCAAAGTTGAAAAGAAATAAAATTCGCCGATTTGAATGTTATGATAACGCTTGGTCGGATAAACACTTCACCCAGTTACTGCAAATAATCTCACCTACACTATCAGGGTGACTCAAATCAAACCTTGGTTACACCTATTGGCGTCACTTGCACTATTTTCCCGGTGACACTAAAACAGAACAAAACGCACTTAAGCAGTAAATAGTGCAACTGACGCTATATCCCTAATGCTCCATGTGGCCAGTATACTGGACATAACATAAAAATTAAAAAAGTCAGATTTGCTCTTATGTCTAGTATACTGGCCACAAGAGCGTTTTTAACCATGTATGGACAGTCCATTAACTCTATATTCCAGAGGGTGTAAGGCACAAGTTAATCTCATTCCACGAGAGTCGTCTTACAGGAGGCATCTTGACTTTCAATATTCGAAATCGGATAAATTCTCGAAGAGATACAAACAACCCCCCCTCCACTACTTGTCAACATCAGCCCCTCTGAACTCTCTTCCTCAAATGGCTTCTCTTGATCTCATCGACGTTTTCATTGAGGACGAATCTACTCAATTGAATGTGCAGCAACTGGACGCAGATGCACAAGGCGCTGTTGGCGTTGCTGGGCCTGGTACGAGCACGCCTGTGCCAATAGCGGAAGGTGTCCCAAACGTAGGCCCTTTATCTAGACGAAGAGGGCGTGGAACGGGAGCTACCGCGACTACAGGCCAGGAACGCGCATTAACAGGCGGCGTAACGCGCCGTGGGAGAGGGACAGGTTGGGGGAGAGCTAGGTGGCGGGAACCCGGACGAGGGCGCGGACGGGCTCGAGGAAGGGGGAGAGGTCGTGGGCGGGGCGGCTCTGCTCAGAATAATTCACACGTTCGTGACCCGAGC